AGTAATATAGTATAATAGTAGGTAAGTATCACAGTGTCATTTGTAAAAAAATACAATGTACAAACATCTAATTTCATTTATGAAGGCTGTATGCAATCACAATTTTCTGGATGATCGCAGTAATTCTTTTGAGAATTCCAATGTAGACCTTTCGGACATGGCATCAATATGGCAGTTAAGTCTCTGCACTGCCAATACGATCCGCAATCGTGCAAGTTTGCTATGTATTCTACTCCTGGCTCGCATTTAGCTGAAATAAAAGTTTGAAATAAAAACATTTTCTTTTCGAAAAATGGAAATTCCACTTTTTCAAAAAAGGTAGGTAATATCATCAGTTCAACATGTACTTACGTGGCTTTGGAGTAGTGTTACTAGGTCCTCCGGTTGTGGTGTTAGCGGAAGGCGGACTGCAAATAATTTGTATAATTAATAAAAAATTAATTTATTGTAACAGCAAATTGGACATACCATTCTAATTTGCTATCATCCCATTTTGTTCTGTTACAATAATCTGAATTTGGCCAGTCGCAAATGTTTTCCTCTGGATTCCACCAAAGGCCGGATGGACACGTCATTTTGGTAGCTACACCATTCGTGCAGTCCCAATAATTACAACAGTTTGGATCTGGTACAAATAATTGTACTGGACAAGCAACAGGGCAACAAGCTGGAATTGGAAGAAAGATACATTTTTAGTTATGAAATACAATGTATGTTTTGTGTAAATTCACTTACGTTTTTCTTCTTCAGATTCTGCAGGTGTAGTCTCTTCGCAGCAAGGTTTTTCAGTGGATATGTCATGACTAAAAAAGTAATAATTTATTTATAAACATTCAACGAAAACATTAGCAAATACTTGTTCTTTACGTTGACATTCAGTAATTCTACTTACCAAATCAAGTCTTCCCAAGTCCATCCCCGTCCCTCCTCACAACCATTATAATCGCAAAGTTTTGTTTCGGGATTGAAGACCAAACCATCTGGACATTTTATCCTGTAGGCTCTGCCATGGTCGCATTTCCAGAAGTATTTGCAACTTGTAGCATCAGGAACATGTAGAAGGTAAGGACAATCTTTGTCACAAGGTGCTGCAGAAAAAAAAATCAATAGGATGACAATATACTGATAGAAAAATGAAAAAAACTTACGTGGATATAAGGGATATAATGTTGTAGGTTCAGTGGTAGTTTCTGGCGCTTCGCTAAAATAATAGACTTTATTAATTATGTTTCATTTTATTGAGAATTTGATAAATGACCGTAACTTGTCCGATTAAAGCAAAATAAGACGATGGATTTACCCAGAGTTTTGTGGCATACAATTTGGATAGATTCATACAGAAGGTGTTTTCTACAAACTTGTGTAAATTGAGGGAAGAATGAACATAATGAAGTTCTCGTGAAATTCCACTCATCAAATTCTCTATGCTAAAAGTATATCAAAAAAGTTACGAAATCCTTCATTTGTGATAACTCTAAAACGATAGTTTATCCCAAAAAAAACAACTTACTCAATTCTATGAAAAATAAATTGCACGTCGAATAAAAAGCATTGTTATCATACAAAATTTTACTACTTAACAAAACTTACCAAATCTGATCTTCCCAAGTCCATCCTTTACAAGGTACGTCATGTTTGAAGTTCTTCGGCCAATCGCAAACGTTAGCCTCAGGGTTGAAGTGTAAATCGCAGGGACATTCTTGAAGGGTGGCTACTCCGTCAGCACATTGCCAGAATCTGCTGCAGTTATAATCCGACAAGTAGATGTTCCACTTACAGCCTTTCAAACAGGGACGTGTACTGTTTGGTTTAGTGGTTGTAGTAGTTGTGGGTGTGGTAGTTGTCGTTTTAGTGGTTGTTGTGGGTGTAGTAGTTTTTGTAGATGTAGCAGTTGTACTGGTTGTAGAGTTATAGGATTCTGAAATATATTTTAAATTGTTGATTTTCTTGGGCGATTGATTCACAGTTATAAGAGTATATAAGTTGTTTTAGTTGAATTTTAAGTAACTACTTACCAATAGCCATATCTTGACACAGAGCTAAAGCAACTAAAGATGAAAGCACAGTTATGGCTATAGTCAACTTCATTTTGCTTTAGTTTTTACGGTATTGTACCTCGACCTACCACTACTGACAAATACAGTGATACTGATGCTTTCTTGAATTTTGATTAAGGTTTATATACCAACAAAAGCTTCATTTTTTTATTTGTCCCTGATTGTTATCATTTTAATGCATATATTATAATTTGTTCATAATTTTGTTTTTGTTTCCGTATTCACCTCTAGAGTCTTAAGGGATTAGTTTGTTTTTTCAATGGTTTAAGACTGGATTACTCTTCAGTTATTTTTCAGAAGTTATTTAGTTGGAAAATTCGTCTTTGTTGTTTTTTGTTTTTTTTTTGTAATTATTATCACTTTGGTGCAAAATTGTCAAGCCTTTATATGCTTTATTGACTATGAGAAAGCATTTGACAGTGTTAGACATAATCTCTCGATATCATTCATGTCTTGGGGAAAGAGGCAATAAGATTTTTTAGTAGTCTTCACTGGAATCAAAAAACGGAAGTTCGGTTAAACAACTAAACAACAACAGACCAATTTGAATTAAAAAAGGTGTCCGACAAGGATGTATCTTGTCTCCAATGCTGTTCAATCTACACTTGCATGTATGAAAATCGACCCACTGCTAACTGACTATATTTGTCAAACTCCTGCAAAAATATATTTTTAAATGAAATCGAAGAAAATGCCATAAAATAAAATCTTTGAGGGTGCCTGACACCTTTTTTGCAGCGACTTAGACGTCTGACGATTTACATACGTTATCTGTGACCTTTAAACAGGTGATGTGCATATTTTCAGCCGGAACTATGATCATTTTTTAACCATTTTTTTTTGTTTCATTTTTGCAGGAGTTTCGAGCAAAATCGTTGCAGATGGGATTTCCTGATGGACCTCCAACCACTTCACAAAATTCCAGTCAAAGGTATTATCGTAGGATCTCCGCAGCCGCCAGCTCTTAGTCTAAAATCAATCATGAAAACTTTAAACACCAAACACTTGAAAACAAATCAATATGAAACATTAATAGTGCAAGTTGCAATTTCAAAGACAATAATAAATAAGTCGGTCGTTCTTGTTAAACCACAACATAAATACCATTCATTTGTTTATCGGTTGGGAAATACTTTCTAAAATAAAAAGTAAAAAGTTAACAGTGGGCCGATTTCTATGCACGCAAGTTTATATGCAGAAAGAGCGTTTGAACCACTGTTGAACAGTCCCATAGGCATTAAAAGGTTTGTTCCAAGACGTCAAAAACCGTCCCATGACCGGTTCCGAAACCACTCTGTATACGAATTTCAAATTCTATGCACACATTTTTGGTTTCTTGATGTGTTGGAACAGAGCCCAAATTCCGATCAACAATATCATCAGATATTCAGACGACACCGCAATATTAGCAGACAATGCAGAAGATCTTCAGACATAACTGAATCAGATTGATGGACCAGGCCACGCACTAGGCTTGAAAATTAACTAGAGAGAGAATACCCAAATAGATGAAGATGGAAAAAATATTGAACAGCTTACAGACTAAATATTTGGGATGTATCCTCAATGAAAGATGGGATCCGGAGAGAAAGATAAGATGCAGGATAGAACAGGCAAGATCAACCTTCCTTAGAATTTGAAAATTTCTCATAGACAGAAACTTATGAGCAAAACTCAGATACAGAATGCTAAGTATGTTATGTCTGGACGATCCTGCTATAAGGAGTAGAGACATTGACACTGAAAGTAACCACCATAAACAAAATCGAAGCTTTCGAAATGTGAACGTTGAGACGGATGCTTAGAAAACCTTGGATCGATCCCATCACAAAGGAAGAGGCCATCCGAAGGGCTGAACTGCTAGATCGAAAACTCTATGAAACCATGAAATGCAGAAAAATATCTTATCTGGGACACATAATACGAAGAGAGTTACTGCTTTCAGCGCATTATCATTCAAGGCAAAATTAAAGTAGGAAAGAAGGAGATAGGAAGAAAGGAGCTACCTTAACTACGTGACTACGGAATGTACGGCAGTGGAAAGGAATACAAGAGCTCCAAACACTACAAACCGCTGCATTTAAGACAAATACCTATTTGATAGGAAAAACGATGGATGCTTAGGCACGAGTCTGTTTGGCATTTTGAGAAGAAGCACTATGGATTTTAATGTTGATAAGATGCCAAATAAAAATGTCATGCAATATTGTCGCAAATTTTTAAAAAAACACTATAAACTTATTGTATCTAAGATTCAGATAGAAATGCAACTTATAATAATTGAGGTGCTAGTTCTCCTATGCATAGACGCAATGCTTATAATAAATTTTATAACGTTTACTTAATTTTTAAAACGCGAAAAAATTAAACCTGAAAAGACACAGCAGGAAAAATCTGGTAACATCATGGACCAGTATTCAAATTGATAATCCATTGTGTGCAATCAATTCGAGATGACGAATTTAAAGGAAGAAAATTACGAAAAAGAAAGTTTTGAATAATGTCATTCCTTGAACTTCTTCCTACAATTTCTAGAACAGTAAACAAAATACCATTGTTCGGGCATACCGCAAAATACCGGTATATTGGAAGTTCCTATAAGACCAAGATAATTTTACCCTATAGTGGATGTTTTCTGGGCTAGATAGGGTAAGTTAGAAGTGTTAGAACGCATCCAAAACCGAACATTTGCATGTGTGTAATATAAAGTAATATTTGGCCTATTTTTCAATTGAATACAAAAATATTGCTGGAAGAGCTTTAATCCAACCACTTTGCAATGAAAATCGAAAGCCTATCTTAACCTGGGTTAGAAAATACGACTGCTTCAAGACAAAAACAGGATCTCATTTGTAGAGGATTCCAGGCATCCCATGGACAATAAAATACCATCAAAATTCATACCAGAACAGGGAATTGATAATTGATAATAAATCGAAGGGTCAAAAACTCAATTTAATTCCTTAATCTTTATAGCTAAATAAGGAAACGAAAACAACATTATAAACAAATACTACTTAATATATTTATTTCTAATAACAATTTTATAAAACTATGAATATGATGATAATTGATTAAAAACAAACAAAGCAAACACAATTTTGTGTTGATATAAAAACGAGGCAAAATTCAAAAAAGCATCAGTCTCAGTCAGTGGTAGGTCGAAGTAGAATACCATAAAAACTAAAGCAAAATGAAGTTGACTATAGCCATATCTGTGCTTTCATCTTTAGTTGCTTTAGCTTTGTGTCAAGATATTGCTATTGGTAAGTAGTCACTTTAAATTTAACTAATACAAATTATGTAGGTACTTACTACTCATAGATATTAGCAAAATTGTGAATCAATTGCCCAAAAAAACTAATAATTAAAAATATATTTCAGAATCCTATAGCTCTACAACCAGTACAAAGTCCACAACAACTACCACGCCCACACCGACAACTACTACAACAACCACTAAACCAAACACTACACGACCCTGTTTGAAAGGCTGTAAGTGGAACATCTACTTGTCGGATTATAATTGCAGCAGATTCTGGCAATGTTCTGACGGAGTAGCCACCCTTCAAGAATGCCCTTGTGATTTACACTTCAACCCTGAAGCTAACGTTTGCGATTGGCCGAAGAACTTCAAACATGAAGTACCTTGTAAAGGATGGACTTGGGAAGATCAGATTTGGTAAGTTTTATTATTCATTCAGTATGACAGGGAAGATTTTTATTCGACGTGCAGTTTATTTTTCATAGAATTAAATAAGATGTTTTTTTTTAGGATAAAATACAGTTTTAAAGTTATCACAAATGAAGGATTTCGTAACTTTTTTGATATACCTTTAGCATAGAGAATTTGATAAGTGGAATTTCACGATAACTTCATTATGTTGATTCGTCCCACAATTTACACAAGTGACAAGTTTGTAGAAATCACTTTTTTGTATGAATCTTTCAAAATTCTACGCCGGAAAACTCTGAATAATTCCATTGTGTTATTTTGCCCATACTCGGACAAGTTACCGTCATTTATCAAAATATGAAAAAAATGGAACATCAATAATGGAATCTTTTTTTTTAGCGAAGCGCCAGAGACTACCACTGAACCTACGACATTATACCCCTTATATCCACGTAAGTTTTTGTCATTTTTCTACCATTATATTGTCATTGTATTGTTTTATATTTTTTTCTGCAGCACCCTGTGACAAAGATTGCCCTTACCTTCTCCACGTTCCTGATGCTACAAGTTGCAAATATTTCTGGAAATGCGACCACGGCAGAGCCTACAGGATAAAATGTCCAGATGGTTTGGTCTTCAATCCCGAAACAAAGGTTTGCGATTATAATGGGTGTGAGGAGGGACGGGGATGGACTTGGGAAGACTTGATTTGGTAAGTAGAATTACTGAAATTTCAAACTTTCAATCACGTAAACAATAAGTATTTGCTATTTTTGTAGCTTGTTGAATGTTCATAAATTATTACTTTTTTAGCCATGACATATCCACTGAAAAACCTTGCTGCGAAGAAACTACACCTGCAGAACCTGAAGAAGAAAAACGTAAGTGATTTCACACAAACCAACATACAGTACAATTCATAACTAAAAATGCATCTTTCTTTCAATTCCAGCCTGTTGCCCTGTAGCTTGTCCAGTACAATTGTTTGTACCAGATCCAAATTGTTGTAATTATTGGGACTGCACCAATGGTGTAGCTACAAAAATGACGTGTCCATCCGGCCTTTGGTGGAATCCAGAGGAAAACATTTGCGACTGGCCAAATTCAGATTATTGTGACAGACCAAAATGGGATGATAGCAAATTAGAATGGTATGTGCAATCTGCTGTTAGGATAAATTAATTTTTATTAATTATACAAATTATTTGCAGTCCGCTTTCCGCTAACACCACAACCGGAGGACTTAGTAGCACTACTCCAAAACCACGTAAGTACATGTTGAACTGAAGATATTGCCTACATTCTTTGAAAAAGTGGAATTTCCATTTTTCAAAAAGAAAATGTTTATATTTCAAACTTTTGTTTCAGCTAAATGCGAGCCAGGAGTAGAATACATGGCAAACTTGCACGATTGCGGATCGTATTGGCAGTGCAGAGACTTAGCTGCCATATTGATGCCATGTCCAAAAGGTCTACATTGGAATTCTCAAAAAAATTACTGCGATCATCCAGAAAATTGTGATTGCATACAGCCTTCATAAATAAATTAGATGTTTGTACATTGTATTTTTTTACAAATGGTACTGTGATAATTACCTAGTATTATACTATATTACTTATATAAATTTGCTCAAATAAATTTAAGGAAATGTAATTAGATTTTTTCTTTAAATAAAAAGTGCTTATCACAGATAAATTTGTTTATCTAAAATAAAACCTGCAAGAGTTATCGGATAAACGCAACGAAGTATTCTTATGGTTTAGTATAACAACTCCGGTTTGAACAATTTGGAAAGTAGGGGTGGGTTTATTTTTAGGCGCCACCGACTCAGGATAGATAAGTCGGACTCTCTAGGATTTTATCTGGCTCCAGGTTCTCACAACTCAAATTCAAAAAAAATAATATATTCAAGAAAACCTAGAGCTGGGCCGAGTGCATAAAACCAAATAAAAGTCAATATAATTCAAGTGCTGAAGGGTGTGTTTATTTACTAATTTTTGTGGTTATATTCCACAATGAAACAATAGATGTATAGAAATAATAATTTAATAATAATAATAATTAACAATTAATAATTAATAATAAATTTCTTAAAAATTTCAAATTTTCCCAATTTTTTAATTTACACCTAGATGTTGACCATCTGTATGTGTAGAAAAAATAAATAAAATAAATTAAATTAAATTAAATTAAATTAAATTAAATTAAATTAAATTAAATTAAATAAATAAAAATTAAATATATTCATGTAAACACACATAAAGTTTGTTTCGCCAGGGTTTGTACTTGCCACCAGCATTTGCCTTTCTTGTTTAATAAATAAAAATTCTGTGAAACAAATCAATGACGTCAAAAATGTTCGTCGGTTCTTAAACCACAAGTCATTCATTTTAATTTGTCAAAAAGTTGAATGTGTCATATGAATCAACCTACGACAACCCTTTTTTTTTTCAAGTTTCAAGGTCAAGTATGAACCCTGGTGAAACGGACCTTACATATATATATAATATACGTACATACATACACATAATAAGTATATTACTTTATTAACATTAGAAAAGTTTCAATATTTTCATAAATATAGTTTCTACATCTATTTTTAAAATGATATTTATTTATTAAATTTTTAAAATTCTCTGGTAATCTATTAAAAAATTTTGGTGTGAGGTAATTGATAAATTTTTGATTAAAATTTTTATTACTAGAAGGAACATCTATTAAACAGTTAGTATTATAGTTGTTAGAAACTAAATGATAATTTTGTATGTTTTTTAAAAATATGCAAGATGTTAATACTTATGTATTAATTTCGAATATTAAAAATTTCATCGTCATATAATAATTTCGTTTCATATAATCTAGGTTTTTTAAAAATCTTCAAAATACTATTTTGGATTACATTTAAACAGTCTAAGTGCCTAGTACACAGGCCACCCCATATTATTAACCAATATCGGATAATTTGTTCAAAAAGAGCTTTATATATTAATTTAAGTAATTTTGTATTTAATATTTGTTTTGATAAAATAAAATATTTAGGAATTATGTTGGATAAACACTTAAAATGGAATATTTATGTAATAAAACAAGATATTTAATTCATAATTTTTTTGTACAAAGACAATACTTACATTATACATTAGTCGTAAATAAATGTAATTTTCAAAAAATGAAGTGTCAGAAAAGTCAGTTTTTTTTACTTTACATTTTGCCAAAATTGCCTTTTAACTATTTCACACCTATTTTCAGTTTTCCATTCAAAATGCCTTTATATAAGTATTCAATATTTCCCTGGTTTTATTAGATTTTGTTTACATTTCTGTCATCCTGAAAATTTTCTAATCTTTATTATTTAAATTCTATTTTCACTTGTGACTAGTTCTTGTGACGACTAATGATTTTCCTCGATTTTATTCAATATTTCAATTCCATTTGAAAAATCAATTTTCATGTAAACAAATCAATTATTTCTTGGGTTAGGTTTTCCAAATAGTGGTCCGTTAACGAATGTGTACCGTATGCTGCTCGTACTTTGTTCGGTTGCTGAACTCAGTACCAGATTTAGTTCTGCATGCGGTTCCATCACTGGTTCCATAAACCACCGCATTGCTTTCCTAGCTCTCTATACCATAGGGACACTTAAAAGTCATGTCACTCATGATTTGTGTGCCAGCAGTGCCAGCTGATGGCAGAAATGTCATTCATCTTTGTCAATTGGTCTTTCGATTAGTAATGTTTTTAGTATCATCGATTCCTTTGTAAGCGTTTACGTTCTGCAACACGAATTGCTTATTCAATGTCGTATTCTTCAAATTATGATTGTTCTAGTAGCTAATTACTTGTTATCATTAGTCGTCAGCTGATTATATTGTTATGTTCAATTTTTGGTACCTAAGAATTTTACCTTGCCTCATCTTTATTCCTCAAATCTTCTTTCACGTTTGATGGTTCCGAGAAATAAGGTTTTTCTGAAAAAGTTAAATTTTGTCTTCGCCTTTGAAGGATTTTGACCTTAATATTCTCAATTATTGAATTTTTAGAACATTGAGTTGCCTTACGTTGCGTTACGTTTTCGTAAAGTGCTATAATTTCGTCGATGATTTCGGATTTTTACAACCATCCATTCGGTAAGTTTTGTTTTGCACGTTTTTCCCATAGTGGCTTCTGACGTCTATTTATTCATTAGTAAAAAGCTGCCCTAGAAACCACCATATTCTATCCAGGATATCGAGTTCAGAATAATCCAGCGGATAGAATATTTTTGTGGCAAATAAAACCCTATTCCAACAGGTGAGACATAATCTAATAACCTTAAATTTTTTTGAAGCACATTTTCTTTTCTATTAAGGCTTTATCTGATTTTGCCTAATTTGATTATTATCATATATACATGTTATTATTCAATATTTCTATTACAATAATTTTCACGAGCTATAATATAGTTTTACCCAGTAAATTTGATATTAACAACTGACTAAATTGCAATTTAAATTAATTTTCTTTTCTTTCATTCTGTCTAATTCATGAAGTGCCTCACTAAGGTTAAGTTACAGATACAGTTTGTTATAACAATTTTTCTCTTAGGGTTTTTAGTCACGGCTACATTGTAACACAACACTGCATGTACAAATTGTAACCGAAATTGTAATGCTATAACCACTAGAGCTGTCACCTTTAATTTGGACGGTACACTATCTCTGAACCTTGAGATAGGTTTGGCCACCTTAACTACCACCAGAACACTGCTACCATCTGAAACAAATTGGTATCGTACTAGCTTTAGTTATTCTACTTTGTTTCATTTCAAGTTACTGATTTATAGTAATTACATTTTGCCCCTATTTTGTGCGCCAAAGTGATCACCGCGGTATTTTAGGAGTAATTCAGTAGTTATACCAACTTGACAAGTGAAACAAAACAGTAGTCACAGGTAATTTAGCTAAGCGAGCCTTTTTGATGTGGTTGGTTATTCATTTCAATTTATTTTGATTTTGGTCGACCTAATTGTAAGTAACTGGTAACCGTTCTAATAACTAATTAATATTATTTTTCTTATTTCTTATCTCTCTATTTCACATTGTTAAATTTTTACATTTTATGCATTTGGTTATTGAGCTACAATAACATTCTCAAACCCTACGAATTGTTTAAACCTGAGTTAGGGATTAATTTGCAACTCACTTCGACTTCCAGTCCTGCAATCTCAAGTATCTTCATTATATTTTATTTATATTTTTTTTTTTTTAAATTTTCATCACCGAAAAAGTGTGGCACATTGTGATTTATGAGAAAAGATTTTTTAAATAAATGCACACTCACTACTCACTAGCTTAAAATTTATCTCTAATGGGGTTTAGTTATACTAAAGCATAAGAATACTTCGTGGCGTTTATCCAATAACTTTTGCAGGTTTCATTTTAGACAAACAAATTTATCTGCAATAAGCACTTTTTATTTTTAAAAAAATCTAATTACATTTTCTTAAATTTAATTTGAGCAGCTTTATTCATGCTCTATATAAGTAATATAGTATAATAGTAGGTAAGTATCACAGTCTCATTTGTAAAAATAATACAACATACAAACGTCTAATTTCATTTATGAAGGCTGTATGCAATCACAATTCTCTGGATGATCGCAGTAATTTTTTTGAGAATTCCAATGTAGACCTTTTGGACATGGCATCAATATGGCAGCTAAATCTCTGCACTGCCAATACGATCCGCAATCGTACAAGTTTGCCATGTATTCTACTCCTGGCTCGCATTTAGCTGAAACAAAAGTTTGAAATTTAAACATTTTCTTTTTGAAAAATGGAAATTCCACTTTTTCAAGGAAAGTAGGCAATATCTTCAGTTCAACATGTACTTACGTGGCTTTGGAGTAGTGCTACTAGGTCCTCCGGTTGTGGTGTTAGCGGAAGGCGGACTGCAAATAATTTGTATAATTAATAAAATTAATTTATTGTAACAGCAGATTAGACATACCATTCTAATTTGCTATCATCCCATTTTGTTCTGTTACAATAATCTGAATTTGGCCAGTCGCAAATGTTTTCCTCTGGATTCCACCAAAGGCCGGATGGACACGTCATTTTTGTAGCTACACCATTGGTGCAGTCCCAATAATTACAACAGTTTGGATCTGGTACAAACAATTGTACTGGACAAGCTATAGGGCAACAGGCTGGAATTGAAAGAAAGATGCATTTTTAGTTATGAATTGCAATGTATGTTTTGTGTGAAATCACTTACGTTTTTCTTCTTCAGGTTCTGCAGGTGTGGTCTCTTCGCAGCAAGGTTTTTCAGTGGTTACGCCATGGCTAAAAAAATAATAATGTATAAACATTCAACAAACTACAAAAATAGCAAATACCTAAGTACTTATTCTTTATGTAAATGAAAGTTTGAAATTTCCGTAATTCTACTTACCAAATTAAGTCTTCCCAAGTCCATCCCCGTCCCTCCTCGCACCCATTATAATCGCAAACCTTTGTTTCGGGATTGAAGACCAAACCATCTGGACATTTTATCCTGTAGGCTCTGCCGTGGTCGCATTTCCAGAAATATTTGCAACTGGTAGCATCAGGAACATGGAGAAGGTAAGGACAATCTTTGTCACAGGGTGCTGCAGGAAAAAAAATAGAATCAATAGAATGACAATATACTGGCAGAAAA